TAGAGTTTTTTTTGAGTAGCTAAATATCTCCTATTTCTTTGAACTGTGCTCCATAGGTTTTGTTCCATTCCCTCTGCTGATGCTAGTCAAGTTGAGGTCAAGCTGCCCATCATCTCTTGCAGGTAACCAGCTATATCACATACATTCAGTCACATTTTGAGACACATAATGCACCTGTACCCTGATTTTGAAACTTGTTGCTTGAGCTTTATTTCCACCTGATGCCCTGTCGAATAACACATTAAGATTTAGAAATGACACTCTATAGGCACCACCAATATCATCCAGCACAAATGTTGAATTCCTTTCCTCCTGAATAAAGTCTGAAAACTGTATTCCCAGTTTACTTTCAGACGTGCTACTTCCTACTCTTCAGTGACAGACCAAGTAAGATACCACCACACACACACAAACATAGATCAATGTATATTCAGAGATTAGTAAAATAAAAGTACTTTTATGTTCAGACCTGTACCCGGTTCCACTGGCTCCAACTTTTGCTGATCACCTGTTTTCCTTTAACCATCCAAACTATCATGTAAGTTGACTGTTATTTTCAACGTCTTGCTATTTGACACTTGGTCTCCGCACACACGTAAATTTGTTAATTTTTTTTTTAATTATTGCATGATGCATTATTTTTTAATAAATACAATTGATATTGAATTAAACAATTTATTCCACGCAAGCTTGTCACAATGTTTTTGAATATATTTTTTACATTTTTCATATGACTGGAGTTTTTGTAATGACAAATAAAACATGTTGTGTTCTCTGGATGAGATTGAGATACAGAAATGTAAAAAAAAAATTTTAATAAACTGTTTTGAAGACGAGAAATGTGTGGGGATTTATTTGGGCCATGTCTGGCACAGGTGTAGCTGAAAAAATTAATCACCAATCACAGACCAGGGCCAGATGAGCCCCAGATGTAAAGTCTGAGTCACGGATCTGAGCCAGATCCACACCAAATATCATAGCATTAATAACTGTATCGGGCCAGTACTGGCCAAGGTCTGTTCCTGATCCCCAATCCAAATCCGTGCCGGTATTGGGCCGTTGGACAGAAAGACCCCGGCGCAGACCCGTTTTGCGGATCTACACCAAATTCTATCCAATATCTGGCACAGTTACCTTTTGCTGTCTGTGTTTCTTGTCAACCTTTATGAAAACTGATCATCTTGTTATGTGATACTATGTGCAAACTGCAACTAGCCTGGTTAGTTACTGTAATAGCATTCACAATTACAGAGTTGCCAACTCTCACGCAAGTGCCGTGACTCTCACGCTTTCAGAATCACGCAGGACTCTCACTTAAGAAATCTTACTGCAAATCTATTACTCCACCGTAAACCTAAAATTAGCTACATAAAAAGTGTTGGGGCAGTTTGCAAACTCTACAGACAATTTACAAGGTAAGAAAACTGTTAAACATACAAGTAAATGTGTGTGCGTGTGTGTGCAGACTTGTCTCGACCTGAAAATCTCACTTCAGCCAGCTGACCAAAGTTGGCAACCCTACAATTGTCATCATACTGTGTTTGCCGTAAGGACATAATGTTTATGAAGCCTGTAAAAGGGGGACAGACCTGGCATTTATTTGGAAAATACCATAAAGTAAGTTACTCAGTTACCAGAAACTCAGAATCTTTCAGTTCATTAACAGGACTGTCAGAAAGTTCCTTTTAAGCTAAGAGATTCAATAAATCCCTTATATTTACTTGTGTGGGTCTGTAGGAGAAGATCTCCTAGTCGCTCCTAGTTTGTGGTTGTGTTAGTGATTCTTTCCGTTACGATGTGTTTATTAGAGAAGACAGGGTGCAGGAGAGTGACAGGGGCATCATAGTGGACCCTGAGGTGAGGTCATTTTTCCATAGTCCGTGGCCTGACATTAGTGCGGACTCTCGCTATTTGTGTGTGATTTTAACTGCCATGTAGGTGAAGGTGAATATAAATAAAAATGTAAAGATGAATATCACTTTAAATATTGTGACTGAAGTAGCAATAATTTACGAATAAAAGATGAACGTAAACATGCAGCGCCACACAGTGACGTCACATCTCTGACCCCGATATACTCGCCTCCCCCAATGTTAATAAGAAACCTACGCCTCTTGTCCATGTGTCTTAAGCCATAAATCAGAAAGGTTCACTTGCCTGCTTTCTGTATTTCCACCCGTGTTTCACGTTGCTCCTGCTCTGTATAAACCACACACTTGTACACTCCCGCATCTGCAGTCCTCACGCCCTCAAGCAGCAGAGAGAAGTTGCCTTTGGGGATTTCCTGTGAGAAGAAGCGCGCTCTGCCCCTGTAGGTGTCCCCCTGTGATTCAGGTCTGCTCTGACCCCCCTCGAATAGGTGCACGATGGTGTCTGAATCAGCCCTTCTCCAGTCCACCTCCAGCTCCTCCAAAGGCAGGGGTCTGTCCACAAAGCAGGGCAGCAGTACAGCTCCTGTAAGCCGGGCTGTTAGAGGACCAGCAGAGCCGTGTAGCAGGAAACCTACCACAGGAATAAGAGATATAAAATCACTGTATGACAACAAAGCATTAAATAATAAGCGTAAAACATCCACTGCAACACAGTTACTTGAATATTTGGTAAGAAAATATTGGTAGATTAATTAATACACCCAAAACAAGAACAACTCAATTATATTTCTTCAACATTATTATACGAGTTACCAGACACACAAAACTCTTTAAAATGTACATACCATCAGAGTTAACGACGAACTTGAACAAGATCAAAATAACGATGCAACTTTTCATCTGCATCGCCGCCTTTATTCTTGTCTAATTGTTTTATTATAAACTAATAACCGTTTCTACGAATGCAAATTTCGCCTTATATTTTCATTTTTTACAAACGGACTATATGCGCTTTAATTGACACCGTTACCCCCTTAGAGATAATGCGCCTTTCTGAAGATAGTTTTACTTTCAGTTTACATCAGGAGCTGAATCACGCCCAACACGAAAACGGTAAAGGGTCAAGTCAATTAAGTCATTTATTTATATATAACATTGAAAGACAACAGGAGTTGACCAAAGAATGCTTTCCAGTTTAGAAAGAGGGTGGAGTGGCTAATTAAATTGCTAACTTTAGGGCTCGTTCCCACTATTCGCGATGCATTGCAAGCGTTTGTATGGATTTTTTTATTCCCCTTTGCCCCCTACAAACACCGCGATGTCATTCCATCTGTCATGGTTGCTGGAAAAACTTCGAAAGGAGACTGGATGTAGGTGCCCGATGCGTGCCGGATGTATAAATTGTGTCTGTGCAATATATGTATGTATATATATATATATATATATGCAGTTGCAATAATAAATATTCAAGGATTTATCAATTACAGTAGTGTCAAAATACTAAATTCTGCTTTGGATGACATCTTTATGGGTTGAGTGAAACATAAAATCAAAACAGAAAATGGATGATGTAGCATTTGTGTGTAACAGTATATTTTGTCAGCATAGCCAGGTCACAATTATTCAACCCCATACAATATTGTTGTTTTACAAAGCTTTCCACGGGTTTTTATGGCTCAAAGTGGAGTTGAAACATAATTAAGCCTTTGGGAACTCTATAATGATCCTAAATTTGCTTCAGCTGTGATGCATATATAAACCCCACTCATGAAGGTATTCAGGGTGAGTTGAAATCATGGGAAAGAGTTTTACTTATCACCTGTATATTTGATTTTCATTTTGGCTGTCAGAAGTGACCAGTTTTTTTTTCTTTAAATCAGAGTATTATATGAAAGGCTGCAAAATGATGCTTCTCACAACTTTTCCCCTCATACATAACCCATGTATCATACATAACAGATGTATCTTCTACAAAAATGAATCACTATACATAGATACATTGGCAAGCAACATTTTATTTATATGTAGTTTGTTGCATCCAATCCAGTCCTATTTTATTTATAAAGCACTTTAAACAACCAGTACAGGACCAAAGTGCTGTACAGTAAATAAGTTAAGAAAAATAGATAAAATGAAACAGCATCATGAAAATAAGAACAAAATAAAACACATAATACATAACAGCCCTATATTAAAAAAATATAAAACAACATATAATTAACTAAAACAATAAAAATTAAAAAGCTAAAACAAACATTTCACAAGGTGTCAAAGGCCAAGGTATAGAGATGGGTTTTTAGAAGTGATTTAAAAACAGACAGAGAAGAGGTCTGTCTAATCTCTAAAGGCAAATCATTCCACAGTTTGGGAGCTGCTATAGCAAAAGCACGGTCTCCTGTAAGTTTACGCTTAGTCCTGGGTACATTCAGGAGCAGCTGATCGGCTGACCTGAGAGAGCGGATGGGTGTATAAAGCATTAGCAGCTCAGAGAGATGGGGCAAGACCATGGAGGGCTTTAAAAGCAAATAAAAGAATTTTAAAATGAATCCTAAACGAAATGAGCAGACAGTGAAGTGAAGCTAAAATAGGGGAAATGTGCTCAAACTTTAAACTTTAAACCAGTTAAAAGATGAGCGGCAGCATTTTGCATCCTCTGGAGGTGAAAGATGGATGAAGCACTGACCCCTATATAAAGTGCATTACAGTAATCCAGCCGAATGGTCACAAAGGCATGGATTACGGTCTCAAAGTGTTGCTGAGAAAGAATTGGCTTCATTTTAGCCAGCTTCCTCAGCTGGAAGAAGCTTGATTTTACAACTGCCTTACTTTGACTGTAAAGCTTGAGCTCAGCGTCCACTTTGACCCCCATGTTTGTGATAATTAGTTTTTTATATTGGCCCAAGGAATCTAAATACACATTGGGGGTCTCAGTGGGGTTACCAAAAACCTTCACCTCAGTCTTCTTATTATTGAATTTTAAAAAGTTAAGAGCCATCCAGGCTTTAATGTTACCGAGACATTGAAGTAATGGCTGCACGGAGTATGTGCCTTTTTTCTTTAGCGGGACATAGATCTGACAGTCATCAGAAATCAATGAAATGCAATGCCATGTTTTCTCAGTATAAAACCAAGAGGGGAGTAGATACAACGAGAAGAGGAGTGGGCCTAGAACTGAGTCCTGTGGGACACCAAACAGTAGAGGAGCGGAATGGGACACATGGTCACCAAGACTGACACAAAAGGTTCGCTCCGCCAAACAGGACCTGAACCAGTCCAGTGCTGTGCCTCTGAGGCCCATCCACTGCTACAAACGAGAAAGTAAAATGGCATGATCCACTGTATCAAATGCAACTGTCAGATCTAAAAGCAAAAGAACAACACAGTCACCAGAGTGAGTAGCTAAAAATATGTCATTAAAAACTTTTAAAAGAGTTGATTCAGTGCTGTGTAAGAATTTACAACCAGCGTAACCATTGGTGCAACTATTCTGTGACTTCCTCTTAGGATCAGTGAGTCATGGAGTGACAGCTCATGCCTGATCTCATGATAGGGCACTATATCTGCAGCCACGCCTTTGGATGATGCAGCCCACCCTTGGGTTATGTAGGAGCGCAGCCAGGAGCGGACTGGTACAAAAATTCAGCCCTGGCACTGTAGCCACACCAGCCCACATTACCACACTGACACAGCCCCACCCACAGACACGCCCATTCACTACTTATATTGGTGTACAGATGGTGAAATAATATAAGCTGTACCATA